AAAAGAGTGTGATGACCAGCTTGTTCTCTTGACAAAATTCTATTAGCCTTTGCCCTGCTTCGTTCTGAACTCCAAGGCCAAACTTCCCTGTTGTTCCTTTTATCTCTTGGCTCCCTACTTTAGCATTCCAGTCCCCTAGAATGAGAAGAACATCTTTCTTTGGTGTCAGTTCTAGAAGGATATATATATACTGTATACTCTCTTGCAAATACCAGCCTGAGATACAGAACTGAAGCAAGATTGAAGCTGTCTTTAATGAACAAATTGATGACCCGGGTTAGAGCTCTGAAAGAACCGAAATGCCACGAACACTTTCTTTCAAAGCGAGTTCCTGTTTTTGGAATACACAAGCAATAGAGTCAGACACGACTTAATGACTAAACAACAACAACAACAACAACAAAGGCCCAACTCCTGCCTTCCATGCAGACTTTTTGGAAGAATCTTCTTTATTAGGGGTGGGCATATTTGATTTGTCCAATTTAGTTTATTATATATATATTTGTTTTTTTAAAAAAGACTACAGTACTCTGAGTGCCTTATTAATGTTTACTCTGTGTTACATAAACCTGGCTGGTGTCACATGAAGGATAAAATGGTAGGCAGCCCAGTAGTCTGCAAATGAACACATGGAAATCAGGCAGATCATTGATTTATCGAGGATCTATTCTGACTGGAAAGTAGCTGTCTAGGGCCTTGGGAAGATATCCTTCCATGCCCTGTTACTTAAAAGCTTTTTAGCTGGAGTGTTGGGAAAATCTGGCCTCTTCTGCATGCAGAGTATGTGCTTTGCCATTACATGACGGATCATCCTGAAAAGTTTTTATCCTCTTATCTTTCTTGTTCTTTTCCATTGTTGTCCCTGAAGAATTAATAGCTGAATTGTTTCGAGAATCCATGGAGACAGAATGTTCCTTCCAATGGTTCAATGGAACATTCGGCAACAATTCTGCATGAATACCAGGCCAGGCCATAATTAATAAACATTACATTGCATATGCATGTAAACAGGCTTTGCACTTTATTTATTCTGTGACTCAAAGTACTTTGGAATTCAGTGGGCAATGTCTGATATGTCCAAACAACTCACTATTATGCTGCTGGTACCTGGTCACTCTAACTCTGTTGATTTCTAACATCGTGGACCCCGGGCTCATTGCTGAAAACTGTGGCTGGCCCTTTAAAAAACTCTGCAAATCAGTGCCGCCATTACCATCATTAACTCTAGCTGCATCAGAAAGAACAAGGCCATGCGGGGGAGAAGGACTGCGCTGGGTGCCGGGTGGGGGATAACTAGTCTGGTGTTTTTTTTTTCCTCCCCAACACTCTGGTGTTTTGTTTTCTCATGTTTTTCACTGATGTATTTTATTTTACTTTGTCATATTGTATATTTGATTATATTTTTCTTTTTTGTTACTTGCTTTGTTTATATTGTTATTTGCATTCCTTTTCCCCTCTTTCCCTTCCCCCCTTTCACTCCCCCCTCCCTTTTCGTCATGGAATGGAAGGCCTGCCCTCCCAGCGAGGGGCCCCACAGCATCTCCGTGATCACGGGTAGAAGGCGATATGGCGTTGGCTCCGTCCCTACTTGTGCCAGAAGAACGGTGGACAGATGCTTAAAGGCTGTTCATTGTTCTGAGACGGTGACCAACCCCCAGTACCGAGGTAGCCAGACCAGTCAGCCCTCCACCCTACGCCTGGTGTTGTTGAATGCCAGGTCTGTATCCAATAAGGCCCAGGTGATCTACGACCTTATCCTGGAGGAGGATGCAGACCTGGCTTGCATAACCGAAACATGGATTGGCGGAGAGGGGGGTCCCCTCCCAGCACTCATCTGTCCGCCCGGTTATGCTGTCCAACACCAGGGTAGCCTGGAGGGTCGGGGGAGGGGAGTAGCCATTGTCTACAAATCCATCCGGTAGGTAGCTAGGCGCTCCTCGGTGGTAAAGCCGGGTCTTGAGGCTCTCCACGTGTCGATTGGGGCCAGGGATGGTATCGGGATCTTGCTGGGTTACCGTGCTCCCGCGACCCAGCCATTTCCCTACCGGAGCTGGTGGACTTTGTTTCTGCGGCACTGTTGGGCTTCCCGAATCTACTGGTTTTGGGGGACTTCAACGTGCATGCGGGGGCAGAAACTTCCGGGCCAGTTCTTGAGTTCCTGGAGACCATGGCCTTCTTGAACATGTCCCAACATGTCAACGGCCCTACACACGTGGGTGGCCACACACTAGACCTGGTTTTTTCCACTAATGGGACTGAGAGTGATCCGATGGTGACTGACCTTGAGTCGGTACCCTTGTCATGGTCGGATCACCACCTAATAAA